ATTCCCTGAAGCTGGAGTTACAGATAGTTGTCCTCCTGAAGAGCACTAAGTGCTGTTAGCTGCTGAGTCATCTCTCTGGCATCCTAGACCATAATTTTGAAGACCTTGAATATTCTCAGGTTTGAGTTTTTTCCCTCTGAGGAAAAAAAATAGGAGAGGAGAGATAAACTCTTTGGTGATGACAATAAATATCAATTTTTCTGTTAGTAAGAGCATTTTTAATACTTACATTTTGAATTCTGACAGGATGGAGGTAGAGCCTCTACCTGTGACTCTGAATTTTATTTCCCTCCGTACTTTCTCCACTCCATCTTTGGGGCTGTGTTTATCTACTGCCAAAACATGAACACAGGGTTGTCAAAACCATGAACATGCAGTACGTTTCAGCTGAGTACTGGGATTTGGGCTGTGTTTATCTACTGCCAAAACATGAACACAGGGTTGTCAAAACCATGACTGAGTACTGGGATTTGAACCCAAGTCTTCTGCAAGAACAGTCAGTGTTCTTAACCACTGAGCCATCTCTCCAACCTCAGCTTTTCTTTTTTAAAAAAATATAGATATTAACCTCTATTCAAACATTCCTAATAAAATTCCATTTTTTCACAGAAATAGAGAGACCATTTCTTTGGAAAACAACAATTTGTGTCTAAGACAACTCCTTCCATGGTATTTTATTCCTGAATGGAATGAGATTGGCTCAGAGTTCTGCCCCCTGCCCCCCACCCCGGAAATATGAGAGCCTCTGATACACACTCATTTGTAGTTCTAAAGTTAATTCTCTTATCAAATTTCCTGCCAGGATGTTGTGAGCTGAGTTTGGATACAGGCAAAAGATCTACTGTATATCTTTTCAAATTTATGATTAAGAAGGTCACATATACATTTTTAAACACACTCGTTTTTGATAATGAAGAATAAAATTTTGAAATGTCATCAGCTGCAGAATTACTCATTTTTCTTTTGTTGACGTTCTCTTTGCCAGTTGATTGCCTGCTGATCATGATAAAGGGCCTGACTGATCCAGTGTTTTATTTCTGTGGCTCCTCCCACTACCTAGAATAGTTCACTGTAGAGCAGTTTGCCTATGGCCAAGCATTACGACTGAAAGATAATGTTCCTATTCTTGAGTGCCCTCTCTTCCTCAAGCCAGTTTTTAAGAATAAATAAATAAGTGAAATATTCCACTGTAGGCTGCATTTGTCTTTCAACTACCGCCAAATGAGAAATAGAAAAGATTTTCTCTTCTTGGTCTGGAGTCTTAGATCCAGATTCAACTCCTCCCTTCCTCTGCCGTGCTTCCCAGCTGCTGGAACGTGTTCTTCAGGGACTCCATCAAAGGACTCTGTCTTTTCACATCTTTGGCCCTTAATTAGGTTCAGCTAATGAGAGGAGTAGAAGGGGAGGGTGGAATCGGGGCGTTTTGTCTATGGTTGCCTCCCTGTGAGCTCATCTAGTACTAGCTAGCCCCCTCAAGAGAAAACCACAGTTTCTGTCCAGGTGCCCTTCTCTTCACAGCTCTCTTCTTAGGGGTTCTGGTTACAGCTTCCTCTGCTTGTCCCTTTGGACCTATAAGTGGCAAACAGCTCTCTTGTCACTCTGCTATATCTTGGTGTCCCCTGGGCACTTTGTCAGTAGTCTTTCTATAAATAAAGACTTCACAAATTAATGTCATTTGAAGATGCCATCCATCATTCTCAGTAGTCTACACCAGGGTATTGGATGTCTGTCTGTAGGAGTAGGCTATCAAATTGGAGTTGGTCTTAGATAAACTCCTCTAAGATACTTCTATATCCAGGTTTATCCTTTAGTACTTCTGTGGTAGGGAGATCATTAGCTCTTGAAATGGCCTAGTTCATGATCAGAAAATCTGTTCCTTCTGTTACACTTAATTTGACCTCTTTGGGACACATATTCTTTATGGATTGAGATAGGTATAACAAAGGTTGAATTTAAAGCCAGGTCTTGTGAAGAGTAGAACAGTAGACTCAGAGAAATTTATCCTTGGGTTATTAATTTAACTCATAGATTTTCATCTGATAAGAATATCAGGACTATACTTAGATGTATATATGTTGGGAAAACCCATAGGGATCGCAATGACATTTTAAAGATATTTGGATAACTTGTATGCAAGAAGGGCAATCATATATTTTACTCTTATGAAATACCTCAGACCTTTCAGTTAAAATTAAATGAAATAGATTTTTAAATTTATAAAAGAAGGAGCATTTAACCTTTCAGCTCCCTGAAGAAGAATCAAAATGTCTATTCCTTGATATAGTTCAGAGAGATGAAATTCCACAGTGGGGCTGTGGGGGAGGGTATTGGAACATTAGAATGTGGTTAGATGACTTAGCGGTAATATAATAGCAACTTCCATGTGTTGAACATTCATTACATACCAGGGTCTGTGATCTTTGTATTGTATGTGTTATTTAATTGAATCCTTACAACTGTATGAGGCTAGTCCTTTTATTTTCTACAATGTGCAGAAGAGTTCAGGACTTACAGAGATTAGTAAACCCACCTAGGGCAGGTAGCAGATGTAGACTATGAACGCATGCCATGCCAAAGGAGGCTTAACCTCCAGTGATTGATGTCAGAATTACATCTTGGTGGCTATTTAGAAGTCCTGAGTCTGGGCCTCTGGGTGCTTTCTTAAGTCTTCAGGTGATTCAGATTTACACCAAAGTTCAAGAACTGCTACTCTACACCATTGCCATTATTAATGCCCCTCTGCTTCTCAGGAACCTTTGCCCTTATAGGAATAGGTATGAACCAAGTCCAATGTTGGCTTTTTTTTCTTTGAGCTAGAAACTAGCCATTACTTTCACCAACCACCAATCTCTACTTCAACCCACTACTACTTGGTGGACTCTTCCATTAGTCATTCACTGAGGAAAGACTAAACTCCATTTCCAATCAAGTTCAGAGGCATGAGAACAGAAAGGACATCCTGACCTTTTCCTCTAAAAGGAAAGTGGGCAAAGCATCATAAATTCTCATTGATTTCCCATTATAAGCTCAAGTATAGAATGTGCCCATTGTTAAGGGTAAAACAGCCTAAGTCTCACATTTCCTAGTAAATGGAAGTGATCACTGGCTTCAGGGGGCCTTGGGTTTACTCAGCCCTGACATTAGAGATAGCCCGTCTTGCCTCTGCTTCAGTAGAGTGAGCCAAATATGGTGTTAATAATTGGGGAAATGAGGAAGGAGAGCAATCCATCTTCCCAATCCTTTATGTAACTGGAACCATCTGACTGTGATTTTTCCCTTGCACATGTCCCAAAGGAAGCTGGCTAAGAAACAGAAGGAGACACAGAGCGGAGCCCAGAGGGAGATGGGGCCAGTGGCCTCAACTGACAAACCCACCACCAAGCTCAGCACCAGCCGCAATGATGAAGGCTTCTCCTCTAGTTCTCAGGACGTCAATGGATTCAGTAAGTCAAATCAACTAAGGTAAATGGGATACTGGTCCATCTCAGCCGTGGTGCTTCTGCTGTGGATCCCTCAGAGTAACCCAGTGCTGTAAATCATGGAATTGGGAAGCTGTGCTGGGATGTCAGAAATAAAGCTCCTCTCTGGCAAAGCCTTGGCACAGCCCATCCTGAAGTACAAAGAATATGTAAGAATCTGAGGCTGGAGTGGTGGCTCAGTCAATAAAGTGCTTGAACATGAAGACCTGAGTGTGGATCCCCAGTACCCACAGAAGAAGCTTGGCCCCAGTAGCACTTGCCTATAACCCCAGCGCTGGAGAGGTAGAGAAATGAGGATCCCTGGGGCTTCCTGCCCAGCAAGTCTAGTCAAATCAGTGAGTTCCAAGTTCAATGAGAGATCCTTCTTTCAAATTAAGGCAGAGATTGATTGAGGCTGATAGGCGAAATCAACCTCTGGCCTCCACAGGCACATGCACCCATGTCCACACACATCTGCAAGTACACACACGTGCATACTCACTACCACGTGCACAAACGCACATGAGCATGTACATATGCATAAACCACACATACAAAAAACTATCCCTAAGCAGATGGAAATGGGAACATTCTAATTGCTTACAGACCTAAACAGAGACAGGTGGTCAAAAATAATAATAGGTACAAAGAAGGCAGAGGAGGATGGCTGTGCCCTTAAGGCAAAAAGCATACCACACTGAAGTTACTGGCTTAAAATTTTCAAAACTATTTCACATTTATCCTGTAAGGTAGAGGAGTCATGGATTCTTACTGTCTCTGTTCTGAGTACTTAGGAAGCTAAGCCGTAAAGAGCTTCCTCTCCAAAGTCCCAAGGCTGCTGGTTTCCATGTTCAGAATGGAAGCTGTGTCTCCCAAACCTTGGACAGTTCTGAGTATTTTATGAATAAATATTTAACTGTTGCTTTTCCTGGAGATCAGAGAGAATATGTGGTCTGCTTAACCATGCAGTCAAACCTTTTTCTATCCTTAATCCAGATGAATTACCATATATTTCCTAGGAACTTGGAAAGGGGAGTATTGCTATAGACCAGGGGAGGTGCAAAGGAAGCTATCCAAGGCAGGGACTTGGCATGTCCTTGAAGAAAGGTCCATCCTAAGCTGCACTGAACTGTCAGTGCCTCTTCTGCTTTGGAACCGAGAGCAGAGAAGCTCATTTGTAAGTTTAGCTGACCGAAAATACTGGCCTGCTAGAACTTACTCATACCAAACCTTTCCTGTAAATCCCAGGCTCGTGTTCACACTTTTCTTCTCCTATTGTAAAATTGTCCCAGGAAGACACCAAATGCCAAAAAGATTATGGTCAAAAAAGCATGGCAATCACTGTGACCCTAAAACTGCAGATTTAGTCTCAAGCTTTCTAGTCACACAGGGAAACAACCTAGGTGACACTTCTTGGATTTCAAAGGGAAATAATACTCTGTTTTCACTGTGAACCAAAAGTTAGACCTTCAGGGTAAAAATGCCCAGGACCAAGACAGATCTTCACTAACCAGAAAGAAAGGGGAAGAAAACCAAATGAAATCTAATCAGGTGTGTTAAAGATCAAGGCCAGTTATTCCAAATGATTGGATGGCTATGGTATCCATATTTTACGTTAATAGATACTTATACATAAAGACACATGCGCATGTATGCACACATTCATTTTAATGATATTCCTTTATAAAAGACAGAAGAAACAAATTTCAATTGACTTGTTACAGTTGATTATTATGAAATTTTGCATGTTTGAATTATTGACTATTTTAAAATTCTTTCTATGTATCTGGTATTTTCAAACTGCAGCTATAAACACACTCTGGGGACTTTTTTTTTTTCTCTTGAATGCCCTAAAATGCATCAGGTACCTTTTAAAATGCCCTGTGGAACCACTGGAATGAGATTTGAAGGGGAAGAAAATGTAAGTAATGCTTACACTGGAGATGTAGAAATTGCTTCTGAAATCACCCTGATGTATGTAAAATTGAATCTATTTTCGTGACATTAGGGAAGTGGCTGTCTGGCTTCTGAATTGGTGTCTTTAAGAGGGACTGAGATGATGTGCAAATTCTGAAGCAGCACTGAGAGAGGGAGGGCGGGAGAGCAGTTGTTCCATCAGAAAAGATTACAGGAGAATGTGCTTTGGGCAATTATTTTATTATTGAGCAGGTGGGCCCTTGCTTTATTCAAATTCTGCCTCTTCTTGCATAGGTCTGTTTTCTGTGGTTGTCTGTTACAAGTGACTGCTATGTTCCGCAACATCTATTCAATGGAGCCTCCCATTATTGTATAGGAACAGCGACCTCTGGGACTGCAGGGTGACAGGGCTTTGTCAGATATGAGCCATTGCTGTGGAGTGCTTAGGCATTCTTTAAAAAGGGAGTGCACATCACATTTCAAGGACAAACAATGTGTACTGGTTTCCATTTAAAGAAACACTGGCTTTTATTAAGTAATCTGATTTTGATCTTGCTGCCTGTGTACTTGTAATTTTTTTTCTGTGATCTTTTGCTCACAGGGATTGTTTTCTGGATCTTTCTTCAAGCGCTCTCCTTATATATCGTGTTTATGTCTTCTCCTTTATCTCTTGTATTTATGTGTCTTCTTGTTCATTTTCAGTCTGAACAAAAATGCTTCAAAACAAATATCAGCTGGATCTCCATGACACGGGGGCCTGGCTTCTCCCCTTCTCAAAGGGCATTTGAGACTTGCTAGTCTGCTGGCTACCATTAGTTAACACTGTTTTAGTTTTTATGCTTGCATTGTAATGCTTTTTCCATGTCTCATGAGCACAGGCAGTTCATCTCCAGATCATCAGACATTTGGGCCATCGAGAGCTCTGCTAAGTCAGGAGCAGTTTGAGGAAGGGAGTAGTCATAGAGATAATATAAATTTGGGCATCACATCACAGATTATTATTTGGGTGTTTTTTTAAAGATTTATTTTTCATTTACGTGAATGTGTTTGCATGTGCCTTTGCACATGACTGCGTGCATGCATGCGTGCGTGCGTGTGTGTGTGTGCATGCTTAGGTGCCAGTGGAGGCCAGAAGAGGGAGTCAGATTCCTGGAGCTGGAGTTAGAGGAAGTTGTGAACTGCTCTGTGTGGGTGTTCAGAACATAACCCGGGTCCTCTGGAAGAGCAGCAAGCCCTCCTGACCACCGAGCCATCTCTCCAGTCCCCAGATAAACATTTAAATTTTAACTTTTTGTATTTTATCATGTCCTTCTGCAAAACATTTAAATAATAGATCCTCTTTATGTGTCATAAGATAGCTTACAGGCTTAATAGTCTTCCTGTTCTACAGAAGGGGAAACTGGGGTGCAAATTTTTGCATCCTTTAACAAGTTGTAATCAGGATCCACTTTTCCTGACACCAGAGTCTCTCTAACTAGTTCTGTAAAATATTTAAGGAAATAACCAATGAGAGCACCCTCAATAAAATAATAGTTTTTTAGAAAAGAATAATTAGGTTCAAGAAAATATAAATGAAAACAATAAGGTCAAGACAAGACTACATTAAAATGTAATTATATTATAATTGAATCTAAATACACAAGCTGTTATCTTTTAAATTTCAATCTGTCTTTTGAGCTTCCTAGTAGCAAAAACTCAAAGAGGAAGGTAATTTTGGGGGATACCTGCTGTATACTAGATCATGCTTTGTGTAAGTTCTCCTCTTAAGCTTCCTATGAAATCTGTAAGTTCTATATTATTTTCATTTTGTAAATTAGAAACTGAATTTCAGAGAACTAAAGTAAATATGCCCAAATTCAAATAGTAGAGATGAGCTTAGATACCCAAGAGAATTGTCCAATCCTCAAACCAAGCATTCTTTTCCTATTTCACAAAGGATAGCCTGGCACATTACCAGTTTCATTGTGTCAGGTCTTTGATGCTGCAGTGACAAAGCTCCATTTCCCAATGATGGACCAGGTGAATTTTCCATCACATGAGCAAAAGTTGTCACTGTATCTGTGTCGTCTGTAGCTGGGTACTTCATGGAGTCGGTGAGATTGTCATAAGGTACTAGGCTCTGTGATTACCATCTCAGTCCAGCCTCACAACAACCCTGTCCAAAACATCTGTTTATTCCTGAACAGTTAACTGATCCACTTAATATATTAACACATCTTCCTAAAGGTATATGAAGAGGACTGGAGAGAAGGCTTAGTGATTAAGAACACTAGCTGCTCTTGCAGAGGACCCAGGTTCAATTCCCAGCACCCACATGGCAGATAGCAACCGTTCCTGTCTCCAGTTCCAGTGTATCCTATGCTCTCTTCTGACCTCCACAGGCATTGTACTACAAAAGTGCACTTATACACATGCAGGCAATACACTCACTCATACACATAAAATAAAAACAATAAATACAATATTTTTAAGTTATATAAAGAATCTTATTGAAGACCCTGATCCTAAAACACATTCTTTCCAAATCAGGAGTCCTTATCTTTAATCTTTGTCATTCTCTTTACAATGGAGATGGGCGAAAGAGAAAAGATAACAAAGATAAAATGGCCCTGCTGAGGAGGATTGTGCCTCTTCCAATCCCCTCTATCCACCCAAACTCCTGCTGTAGAGGCACCTACCCAATGGATGCTCTCATAGGCAGGTTCTGTAGGAATTGTCCCTCTAGGAGATCCTTAGGAAAGCAGGACTCTAGATCAGTGGTCTCCTTCATTACTGCTAAACTTGACCAATCTGTGAGTAGATACAGAGTAGAAATGAACAAGGGTCTGTCTGGCTCCCAGCTCACAACAGGGCAGGGAGGAAGAAGGCACGATGAACAACTTTGTTATACTTACTTTGTGACATAGCAACCTGCACAGAGAACACCAAGACTCTTCTCTGACTCTGTGACCAAAATACACCCAGGAGTATATGTCACATTTCAAGATCAAACAATGTGCATTGTTTTCCATTTAAAGAAACACCACAGTTATTAACTAATCTGATTTTGCTCTTGCTGCCTTGTGGCT